TCACAACCCTCATCTATCGCGAAACAACCCCTACTCGAATTCCACCTGCAATCCTTCTGTGGACCTTCCAAGTTACGTCATTCGAGTTTCGGGCTCCGCAACCGATGGTTGTAGACCTTCGCTTCCGATCCTGGTTCCTGTTTGCATTCAGAGACTCTGTTGTTTGCTCTTAAAAACACTTAACAGTGAATATCTTCGGGGTAGTCACCTTTCGGTTTATCACATCCTATCAGGACCCTTCATTTCTTTTACAACACCTTCCACTAATCCTAACTTCTTCTTCTTCTTGGTCATCAGTGATTTTCGGTCAAGTTTATTTTATCATTTAAATTGTTGGAAGGCAAAGGTTCGTGATATGGAATTGTTTTAGTTCGTTTTGTATACACTTTGACGTTTTCATTTTAGATTTATCTCTTGGTGTGTGAACTACGTACGTACATTTTATTTTTCTACTTTTAATTGTTGTTTAAATTTCGTATCTTCTGTCACGAATTCAATCTCTGCATTTGTTTCCATTTAACAGTTAACCTCTCCAATTGGAAATATTTTTTTTTATTTTCAACAGTAATCGTCTTTTTGTACTAATTTTAAATATTATTCTTCTTCTAGATTGAAATACATCAGTGTATCAGTTAAATCAAAGTGGTGATTTCCTTCCATTCGAGGTATGTATTTTGGTTATTGGAAATGAATGAAAAGTAAACAATCGGCGTGTACATTGGAAGTTTTCATCAAATATGCTTTCAACCTGGTATGGATGATTTTAATAAGACTGAAATCGAAAAGGGTGATCATTCGATCATGAAATTTTGTTTTTCCCGCCTTAATAGTCGAAACTTTACCAACAATAAACTAAAGGTATGAAAATTCAATTTAATTGATCATCTTTCAAATATATAATAATTAATAATTATTTTTCTATTACAAGTGTCTAGGATCGTCTTAAAAATTATTCTTCACCTAGGAACATGCTCTTTATGCTTTTGATTGTTGCTCAGAAAGCCTTGACAATAATAATGGCTTTCGGGCAATAATCATAATCACGAAAGAGCAAAGATTCATCTTTATCTAATCAACAATTCAACTGATTCTCATTTATCTTCGCAAACCAAAAAAATTATCATCGTCAAACCTATAGGAAAAATATTGTCAACGTTTTTCTGTTTTGAATTCAACAAAAAAAATGTCCTGTTGATTTATCACAATAACATCTTTCGATAAATCTATGGAAAATTAATTTAATTTAATCATAATACGTGTATTGTTTGTGTACATTTTTTCACTGGCATTATTTTCATTGAAATGTGGACGAGTATCGATTATGTTAGCAAAGCTAATTATATAATCATCCTATTAAGTCCTGAACAATACAATTATGTACAATATATTCACCGATATTTGTCTCAAATTATTCTACTAGTATTTTCAAATAAATTTTATAAAATTTGTAATAAATGTAATTCAACGTATCTTTAACATCAGATTAAGTAAGAATTCCGTACATTTCTTTACAAATTCAGAAAATTTAAGTATTTTATTATCGTATTTACTTAATCAATTTATCTATTTTGTTATATAACCGTTTTATATGTATCTATTATTTGGTAATAGAAATATTATTCTCCATGAAATTGTTGTACTTTTTCAATAAAAAACATGAATAAACTTTATACTCAACATAATATAAATCATAAACATTGTTTATAAACAAATAAATCTTTTATATTAAACAATATGCTGTTATATTAATTTTCCCGAACCTGTAGTTAATGATTAGTATCAATAATTACAAATACTTGTATAAATCAAAATTTGGATTATAAACTTTAACATTTTCATTGATTTCCTGTTGTAGAAATTTTCAGTTTTGTACTTGAGAGAATTTATGTTAAAATTTATTTAACAAAAATCGAGTAAACTAGTAAGACTTAGGATGTTAAACAGTCGATAGATTTCAATCTAATCGAATCGAAGTCAATATTCACTCATAGAAATACCGAAAAATAGTATTTACTAATTATTAGAGAAATAGTCATATACCTTCGAAGTTAGGAACAAACGCAGAAAAGTTCTATTTCATGAGATGAATCAAGGATGACATTCCAGTAACAACAGCAAATTTAACAACCTAAACCAATCCAGTGCTCATTTGAAATGTTCTTTCTGTATTATACTCGAAGTGAAATCGTACATGTTGCGCTTCAACAGGTGTCAAATATCGAATTTACTTCAACGCGAGCTACATCGAGTAAAATTTTATTTCTTCTAAATTCTTTTATAAATTTTAATGGAGAATTTTATTCTGCAATATTATTATATGTTCCTAAGCTCATTGTTAAATAAATTTCGAAATGATACAAAAATACAAAAAAAAAATCCTTTTAGCAACGAGACATTATTTTTAAACCTTAAATCAAAATTCGTCCACGTTAAAGTTAAATTATATTTTACAATAAGATTATATTTAAATTGTTAATCTACAAATTATTTTATTAGAACTATAATATATACATAAGAAAATTTATATATTATATATATATTTATATTTTGACTTATTATATATATATATATATTATTGACTTATATATATAAGAAAAGAAAAAAAGAGAAATAAATAAACGGTCGAATCTTCAAACGTTTGGATAAAATCCTAGAAAATGATATCGAAATCCGATACAACAATTCTTCTAGACTATTTAAAAATCGAGTAACCTTTTATTTTTAATTACATTTCCTATCCCTCATCGACCATATTTTTAAAACGACTAAAGATTTTCAATAGAACTACGAATCATTATCAATCCCTTTACGATAGTTTTCCGATAGAGGAAGCAATAATTCTTATTCAAACTCGATTAACCTTTTTCTATTTGTCTATTCTCGTTGTTCTTTCTTGAACATCCTAGAGAAACAACCGGTCTGTAGTACGTCATACCGAAAAGTTTCTTCTTCCATCGGTTAGACCATTAATATCGGGATGCGTAACGTCAATGTAGCCGCTTCTCGACAGATATTTTTCGAGAACTGCCAAAACTCAAGACAACAAGGGTTGGCAGACGAGGAATGGGTTGCTTTCGAGAACCCACTGAGGAACGAACCTATTCCGGTTTGCGAAAGATCAACGTGTAGTTGAAACATGACGTAAAAGGTGGATGAGAAAAACATAAAGAGAGAGAGAGAGAGAGAAAGAAATAAAGAAAAACGTGTGGGTTGTAGAGCAGTGGGGGAGGGGAGTGAGAGGGAGGAAAGATATAGAAAGGTATTGTCGGGCAACAGTGCATTATTTAAATTTTAAAAGCGTTTCAAAGTTTTCCCTTAATTTTGCCGTCTAGTTAGCCGATGCCCATTCTACACCTGCATAGGTAAATTGTGTGGATCCGAGGGGGTGAAAAAGAGAGAAAGAGAGAGACTGACAGAATGAAAGGGAGGAGAGAATATGGCGACGCGGAGATGGAAGCAGGTTGACAGATTGACGTTTGGTCGCGCCCGTTCAGCTCCTGCTGATGAATATTTTAGGTTTCTAGCTTCGCCTGTCAGTCGTCGGTGAAACGGAGAAAGGAAGAAGAGAGATAGATGGATAGATAGGTAGATAACTAAAAAGAGATAGAAAGGGAGAAAGAGAACGAAAAGGATCAAACAAATGTGAGTGAGAAGATAGGACGAGCAATATGAGGGGGGTGAAAAGGGGCTGGAGGAAAAGAGGAGGATAGTAGGAATGATTCTATGTATAGAGATGGTGCCCCGACGAACTTTCGACCCGAAATGACCCGAGAAAGATGCAGACGCTTCCACGAATTCTCTTCATCCCAACCCCCCTTTCTCTTCCTTTTACCCTATCCTATCTCTCACCTTTACCATTCGTAATGATCGCTCCTAATCTGAGATATCAATCGATTGTACTATGAATATCTTCAAATAAAGTATTTATTTACGTGCATATTTTTTTTTCTATCTTCTTTTTCTTATCAATCTGTACTCGTCGATCCTTCTATAATACGTTGTTGGTGTTAATAAAATATAGGAACATAAAAAAGATACCTTTCGTTAATTTATTCCAATCGAATTGACCACAATTGTGTTTCTTAAAATATTTTTAACTTTATTCGTATTTAATTTAACTTAACTTTGATTATTTTGTATGGAATCTATGATCGCAAAAGTAGAATTAAAATGACGGTAAGAATAGATGACAGTGTCGGATGTTTGGAGTAGTCAAATTAATAAGTTAATGTACACACAACAGATGAAACTGACACCTACCGTGGACATCCATTGTCCCTTCATTGAATATTCATGGACCGTGAAAAGGGGTTGTCGAACGGGGGTCACGTTCTTGAAGTATACGTTACATGTCGAAACTGACCGATAAATCTTTTATTTAAAACAATGACATTCGTGATCGCATCCTCTACAAGCCCCCAATCATCCATCCATCTACTCGCCTGTGCACGATCACGTCATCGACTTCGAAATATTAATATCCAATTCTATTTTCATTTATTAAACATCTTTTTCGTATCCTATTTGTATAGATTTACAAATATTTATATATATTTCATTGATATCCGTTAATAAAACGATCAAACGTAAGATACGTCGTTGACCTCGCACATATAACGTTTATGACCATCTATATATTCTTTCATTATTCACAAAATTAATTAAAAATATTGGAGAAGCCCGTGTCGTTCACTATGCGAACTTTAATTGACAGCATGCAGAAATAGTGCGGATGCAAAATGGATGGTATTTATCAGACAGAATCATCAAACTTTAAAATATATCGTTGAAGAATCAAAAGATTATTTCAAACGTTTCTATACTAAATTACTTTGATACGCTTGTTAAGCGAAGCGGCTAAAATGCCGCTAAATATCGGCTATTCGATGTTTAGCATTTTTCTCATTCTATTTATTTCGTTCTATTACAAACGTCACAATTCCCGCCGCGTTCCTATATTCTAATCACGTGACATGCGTTACGTATCGTATGAAGAACGTGGCGCATCGATAGTAGACACAATCGATATTTGTTTACATATAATTCATATAATTACAAAATGATGGATTATGATGAAGATTCAAGTTTATATGATCTTTTTCAAGTATCTTTGACTAATGATAATCTTTTTATGATTGGGACAAGCGTTGATACGGGTAAGATTTCTAATCATGTGGTTTAATAATCATAACCTATAAAATTTAAATATTGATAAAACAACACTTATAAATACATTTTTTAATGCATAGGTTTTGAATGGCAAGCAGTAGATGAATGTAAAGAGAAATTAGATAAAAATCTACATGTTGTTAAACAACGTGGAAAGATTTATTTCAACGTTAATTTGGACAATTTAATCAAAGTAATTTAAAAATTACTGCATGTCATCAATTGTAATTTATCAATTTTGTTTAAATTGCTGCTAGCATTCATTTTGAATTTACGTTCTAGGTACAAGAAATGAGATCGATTGACAATATATTTATAGTTGGAAGCGTACTCAGATTAAAGTTCGATGGTACTAATAAGGAAAATGATTTAAAATTATGTAAAGATGCTACACGAAATGATCTAAAGTTAGAGAAAGCGTTGAATGCATGGAAGAATGTTACACAATTTCCAGGAAAAATGTATCCAACTATTAACGAATATGAAGAAGCTATAAGAAATGAAAAAAATGTTGAATGTGTAAAATCTAACAATTCTAAAATTAGAAAAAGAGGACAAAATCCAGCTAACGCGTATAATGAAGTTTTAAGATATAGAGTAACTTGTGAAAGAACTGGTAAACATAGTTTTGAATCTCCTGACGCTGCTAAAATCATAGGAGGAGAATTACAAGATAAATATCACTGGCTAGTCGATTTATCTTTGTATCATTTGGAGATAATCTGTAAAATAGTTCAAAGTAAACATTAGTTTAAATCACTAAAACTTTTTTAGAGAGAGAAAAAAAACTCTCCTTGATACGTTCAGATAGTAAATTATTTTTCTTTTTGTGTAATCATTAGATGAGATAGTAACACAACTACGTATTACACACGAATCCAAGCATCATAGAAATATCATACATTTTGGACCGACTACGCTCCGAGCTACCATATGTTATAACTTATTAAGATTGGCGCAACCAAATCCAGGAGATATCATAATTGATCCTATGTGTGGAAGTGCTTCTATTCCTATCGAAGTATGTTAAACTTTTAAATTACATTTTAACCCTTTCAACATTACCATAAGCACTCAATATCGTACACTCGCTATCTCTTACCAGTTACAATAATAACTTATTAATATTTTACTTTGGTTTTACATTTTTTAAGTCTGAATATCTTAAAACATACTACATTGTATCTCATCCTTCATCTACTTCGTGATAAAATGTAAATTCATATTGTAACTGGTCCATACAGTGGTCATATAGTGAAAGTGTACTTGCAAACGACATAGTTATATCAAAAAGATTAAATACTATATACATTAATTATTATACTAAGTGTAAAATTAATTTTCTATTCTTCAGGGAGGATTAGTTTATGGAAGTTCATACATATTATGCGGAGATAATCATTCAAAGGCTGTGCTGAGATCTAAATCAAATATAGAAATCTCCTGTCCTAAATCTAAAGTTGATCTAACACAATGGGATGTTTGTTATTTACCGCTCTTAAACAATTCTATCGATATTGTTGTCACCGATATGGTATTTATAAGGATTTTCTTTTTTTTACATTATTATAAATAATGAAACTGATAAACATAATTTTGTAGCCTTTTGGGAAACGTAGTGGCAATATGATGGATAACAGAGTACTTTATAAACAATTCTTACTACAATTAGGACGAGTTGTGAGATGTAATACTGGTCGATTAGTATTGCTAACCTATGATAAGCGTAGCTTTAATCTAGTAAGTTTTAAATACATATAAATAATATTTCTAATTAATTATTATATTAATTAAATGTTTCTCATATTTTATAGTCATTACAAGCAGCTGCTGATTTATTCAAAGTAACAAAAATGTTAGGTGTTAACATTGGAGGATTGGCTGCTGTTGTATATGTATTAAAACGAACACGTGTAGAATATAAATAATTCTAATGATATATAAGAATAACAACAAAATAATTAAAAATAAAATTGATAGATTTTTGAAACAGTATTACATTTTTACTTACAAATTTGTCGAATTATGTTTTTCTTTTTTTATACGAATAGTTAAAAAATAACTGTTTTTATTTTGTGATAAATTGTGATAATATAATTATCACCAAAATATGTTAAATTGTGTAAATACAAATATTTTCTATCAATAAATTTATAAGAAGAATTTTCTTCTGCTGGTTTCCATTTCATGACGACGTCCTTGGATAAGCCATTCATAGTCTCCATACTTACTATCGAATGTACCGTGTTGTAAGGACTTCAATCTTAAAGTAAATCGTGGACCTAATTCTCGTAATCTTGGTTTGCCCGTCTTCAAATTAAATTCGTACCTATCAAAAAAAATGATTTAAAAAATTTTAAACATAATATACATATCTTAATTTTTCTCTAGTTTATCTTCATGAGTTAACAATTACCTATGATGTCTAAAAAATATGTAATCTCTCTGATTATGGAAAGTTACAACTCTTCTACCCTTAAACTCGGGCTGATAATGAAATAATGCACCTAACATTCTTCCTATTGTATATCCCAAACGAGTAGTGAAATTAGTTAAAATAACTTCTGGCCTATGATCCGTAATTTCTTTATGACTACGACGTAACTCGGGTGTAATTTTAACGTTGCTTAACTTAAAATATGCAGTTGGACCATCGGGCAAATGAATTACTAACATTCCATCTATAAAATTATTTTAAAATATCAATAATTAGTAATCCGTATAAAAATCTGTTTGTTAGGATGTTTGTTATCATTTGATAGAAAAAAGATTCAACTACAGCTCAAAACTTAGTTTTCATATTGATTACTATGATTACAAATGAGTGACACTGCATTCACAATGCATATTGATGAACCACAGATATGCGACATTGATAACAAACATGTTAATATTAGTATAATTGAAATAAAATAATACTTGGTACACAGCGGTCTTCGTTGACTATAATTATATCTGTAAAATTTCTAGCGATGGAACTTTTAACTATCTTTTTAACACCGGAACGATTTCTATACAAGGAGATAGAATTTGGTACCATTCGTGTAAGTTCTCGACCAAAAATTCTTGTCTTCCTTGATGGATTGTCAGAGTATGTGATTAAAACTTTAGGCTCATATTCTTTCTTATAATATGAAGAAAATTCATCATGCTCTAGATCAAGTTTAACTTCTTCGTTCTCTTCGTCATCCAAATCACCAACTATTGTAGTTTCATCCTTTTCTCTTAAACTTTCTATTGTATGTGGTACCTGCTTCGGTGCACCTTCTTGTATTCTAAGCTTCTTGGCTTCTTTCTTAGCCTTTGCTTTTTGTTTTAATAATTGTTTACACTTTTCATATCTGACAGCTTTGCATTTAATGTGATTGAAATTACTTTCAGTCGGTAACATAACCTCAGTAGATTGGCTCGTTGATGTATTTGGTTTATTTTCTTCCTCTGAATTTTCCTCTTTCTTTTCTTTTGCTTTTTCCTTTTTAGGGCGACTCAAAGGATTTTTCCTCAAATTTTTAATCTTCATTTTGTATTTTTTAATTCGATTCGTAAATAAAATAAATAATTCAATGCTCTTCACAAAACACGTGCTATGCAGATACAAATTTCAAACACTACACACGTATAAAATACCTAACATAACCTATTATATTACATCCAGTAACCAGAGTATATTTACATAATAGGCATGATACTTAAAATTATTTTAAAAGTTTTATCTATAAACTATTCTTAAAAAAACAATATTTTTTAAAAGAAGATTTTTTACTGCAATTATACCTTTTTTTTCGTAAAGATATCTTACAGAAATAAGTTTCCTAATATTCGATTGGTTGAATCAATTTGATACTGCGTTTGATTGGTTGACTTTCGAGAGCTTCGATAATCGATTTATAACAATACAAAAAGCAAAGTTTAAATTACATATAAAATCAATTAAATTTTTACATAATAGATATTATTTTATGCGCAATATTATGTAAACTTTGTATATACAAAAAATATTAATTAAAAATATTTAGTTAGACTGATAAAAATAATTATTATCAATAGATATATATTTTAATTTCCTAAATCGCTATCAAATTACCAAAAATTTAATAATACGTGTATTATTCTTAATAATATAAACTTTGTTGTGTGTTTGAAACTTGATCATTTAAATTTTAAAACTATCCATAATACAAAAAATACTGCTATAGAGAAAAGAAACAAATATAGAATATAATAATTGTGACCAGCTTTGGCTAATCGTAAAACACGCCCAACAGATGCGCTCAATGATCCACTGGTTCTTTCAAAATCGTCATCCTAAAACAATTCCAATTTTATTGATATATTTAAAAAAACAACATATAATAAAAAAATTAAGAAAGTCAAAATCTACAAACCATTATTTTCAAATTAAAAATATACATAAACTACAAACCATTCCACGTAAAACTTTATCTTGATATTTAACTTCTGTTCCAATATCAATGGACAAAGATTTGAGTGCATGAATTTTAGTACTCAATTCCTCTGTCATCTTTTCATTTTCATCTTCGAAAACATTTTGACTAGACGTTGTTGGTACAGGCTCATAATTGTAACCCCCTACAAAAATAATCGCATTAAAACAAAATAATATTTAAACATTTTTCTATTTAATTTTAACTCACCCGAATGGGATCTTCGCATTTTATTCGCTATCTTGAAGCTTTTCAAAAAATGTATTCAATTATAAAACTATCTTAATTATTTCTTAGATTTTTATTATACAAATATTGTTGACAAAGTATGCAACAGTAAAGTAATAGAACTGTAAAAAAAATCAATTACTATAAACATAAATTAACAGTCAACAATTATTAGACACAATATGTATCTAAACAACTGTCTTTACCTACATTTATATAAAAATCAATCACTATTTTATTATTATAATTTAATTAACTTAGAAAATTAAACGTCATTATTTCTATTAATAATTTAAAATATCTTTCTTAATAATTAATTAAATTTGAATTAGTGGTAAGAAATATTAATAAAAAAAAACAACTAGTACATACATAACCAACAAATAATAGAAATGTCAGCAAGATATAATCGCGTCATCGAACACGCTGGCAGAAGTACTTTAGGGTGAATCCACAATTAACTACAGCTGAGTTATCTCCTTTTTGGCGAATCTGAAATCAAAATAATAATATAAATATATCATTGTAAATAAAGTTATTATAAAATTAAGATATAAACAATTAGTTTGATTTATTCATTAATTTTATACAAAAACAAATATTGAAATGCACTTGAAAACGTCCTAAGGCTAATCTTAGAAATTGACCAAAAACAATGTTACCACAATAAGAAAAAATATATTAGAAAACTAGAACAGATTTTATTTTTGATTATCAAAATAAAAATAATAAATAGTAATATCAAACATATTCTTAGAGTTTAAAATGTTATCATAAAGTGGTACCATGTCATAAATCATATATTTTGAAGATATAAAATTGAGATTAATTCAAGTATACTAAATATATCTATTACGTATACACCAAATGTGAATATTACTACAATAACATATGTAATTTCTATTTATATTTTATAAAGAGTAAAATATGCTTCCTGTACGGTATACAAGAAATTTATTCCTTAGAGGAATTTGTATTATTTATTTAAACGCATTTTTGAGTTTTTATGTTCAAATTCCTGGTATGTATTCTACTATATCAATAATATAAATTATAAAAACAAAATATGATTTTAATTAAATTTAACTTAGGACTGTATGGTGATAACGGAATCCTACCTGCCAGAGCGCAATTAGACTTTGAAAATCATGCATCATTGGAGAAAAAGTTTTCGCAAAAGCCAACTTTGTTATGGTTCGCACCATATTTAGGATTAAATGTAGAATATATGATTAATTTATTATCGCTTCTTGGTGTAGCATTTGCTTTTCTAGGGTAAGTCTAAATAATTTATTCTAATGTTACATGATTTTTATTAATGGTACAATATGTTGAAATTACTTAACATTTATTCTTTTTTCATCTTATAGATTTGTTTCACAAAGGTTCTGCATTTCACCCGTATTTATAGCACTTTGGTCATTATATTATTCCTTACACCAGATTGGTCAAGTATTTATGAAGTTTCCATGGTAGATTTTGATAGAATTTTTTTTCTATAAATCTGTAATTTTAATAATAATTTTTATGATTAATGTATTTTTTTTACAGGGATTTTCTTCTCTTGGAAACAGGATTTCTATGTATTTTCATAGCACAACCTTTATATTCTCATAACAGAAATACTCCAAGTGACAACGTTACATTTTGGAGCGTACGTTGGTTACTCTTTCGATTGATATTTTCTACTGGTGCAGGAAAACTAATTTCTCAGTGTCCAACTTGGTGGAAATTAAATGGTAATATTTCTATAAAATTTAGCACTTTGATTGCAAATAATACCTATAGGCTCCAATGTTTCTGAACATTCTGCAGTCAAAAAGTTATAAAATAAAATTTAGAAAAATAATATATGTTATATTTTTTACAGCTTTAAGTGTATATTTTGAATCTCAATGTATACCTACTGCTTTAGCATGGTATGCACATCATTTGCCAGTTTGGATTCTTCGCTTTACAACTGTCTTAACAAACGTAATTGAGATTGCTATTCCATTCTTATTCTTCTTTCCAAATAGATTAGTAAGAATAACAGCTTTCTACCTTCAGGTAAATATATAAATTTTATTTTTCATACTAAGATATATATCAAACAATTTAAATAAATGTTATTGCAATTGTAGGTCATTTTGCAAATTTTCATCATTGCAACAGGAAACTATAACTTTTACAACTTTTTGATAATATGTTTATGCATCTCTTTACTGGATGATCGTATATTTTATAGTAAAAAACAAAAAAATGTTCGTAACATTAATAAAATCTCTATATTATTGTGCTTCATAGTATATGCAGGAATATTATATGGAATGTATAAATATTATAACATACGTATCACAAATAACTGGACTATTCAAACTGATATTGGTAAATATTTTTATATATAAATAAAATTTTAAATATTTTAATACATTAAGCGCTACATCAGTCATCGGTAACTAACAGTATACTTTCCGATCTAATAATCTGTCAACTGTAAAAAAACATATAGGAAAGTAGATCATTGGTAACTCTGCCGTAGTTAAGTTTTTTAGAAAATTATATTTATTAATATTAATTATTTTTTATATCTGTTACAGCATTTACTCAAAAACAGTTTAATATTGCTTTATCATATATAATTCCAATGTCAATTTATATGGGTATTACATCGCTTGGTTATATAATAATAACAACGATGAAAGATCTAGTAATTAGCAATAAAGGAACACAAAGAAAAGCATTTGTTAATTTTGTAACAATTTTATATACTGCTGTTATATGCTTAATTTTTACTCTTAGTATTGTAAGTAAATATACAAATATTTTGATCTATCTATTACTATATTGAATAATCATAAAATTAATGTAAGAATATTTATTATTATTTAGGTACCGTACGTTACTTTGAATCCATCTTACAACCCAACAATACCATCTCAAATTCAGAAGCTTTACAAATATGTCGAACATCTCCACCTCGTTAACAGTTATGGATCGTATAGACCTATGAAAGATATCAGTGGAAGACCAGAAATAATTATCGAAGGCAGTAACAATAGCGATGGGCCTTGGAAAGAATATGAATTTCTATACAAACCAGGAAATGTTAATAATTTATTACCATTCGTTGGTGAGTCATTTGATAATATAAAATATAAGTATGAATTATTTAAATATCTTAGAAAGAAAATATATATTTATAGAAATATCTTTTATTTACTGAATTATATTTATTATGATTCAAATTAAAAAAATAACTATTTCGTTTGATTTTTATATTCCATCTATAGCGCCTCATCAACCTCGTCTTGACTGGCAAATGTGTTTAGCTGCTTCAAGTAGATATGAACAAAATCTTTGGTTAAAATCGTTAACATATCGTTTATTAAATGGACAACCTGAAACATTAGCTTTAATAAATAAAGTGGAAAATCCGTTTAACGCTAAACCGCCTAAGTACATAAGAGCCAGTCTTTATCATTATCATTACGTACCATGGAATAATACGTAAGTTTTTATTTACAATATATAAATTGTATACAGTCATAAACAATTAATAATAAATGTTTTATTTTTTAATTACAGAAAAAGTAATACACAAGCTTGGTGGACTAGAGAAAAAGTAGAGACATACATGCCAATGTATAAAAGGGATGACTTATCTTTAATTGAATATTTATCAAAGATCAAATTAATTCAAGAAAAACCAACATTAAAAATCACCAATCTAATAGCTACATCAACATTAGATACGATTAGACGTTTAGTTTCTAACGTCGAAGCAAGTTTATTCTTGTGGGGAGTTCATACAGCAGGCTGGGGAATAATACTTTTATAAATTTAAATGTTATTGAAAACAATTTTATTTTTAAGTAAATAATCACATAAACATGCTCATAAACTATTTAATGATAATATTAGAATATTATCATCAGATTAAATAATGTAGTTTTTGATAGATAGTTCATTTTATTTGTACGCACAAAGATTCGTGCAATATATTCCTAACTTATGAAAATCTGTTAATTGCTTAACTTAAAACAGTTATGAGCACAATTAAAATTTATTTATATATTTTTAGATAATATTGAATTCACAAATTTGTTTTGATTTATATACAATAAATATTATCAAATATTATTTAAGTATAGCGTTATTATTTTTTCTAATGTGTGTGGATTTTGTTTATAAAATGTATGTTTGGTTTTGTTTACTTTATTTGCAATAGGCACATTCAATGTAATTTACATTAATCACTAATACTATTTTAAATATTTTTATATAACTTTTACATTAGATATGTTGCTTTATGCATTTTTTATAATAATTTTAAAAATCTACTTTTTTATACAAAAAACTAATCAATATATTTAATTACTTTATGACAACGAAAATATACAATATTTAATTTACCATTAAGTATAAGGAAAAGAAATATTGAATTTAACTTATTACTTTATTAAAAGTATAGGGAACTTGCTACGTTAATGCTTAAAAATAAATTAAGAATTTTCTTCAAATTAAACAATTTCAAGACCTTTCTGTACTCAAGGAAGATTCACTGTCATTATCGCCAATAAATTTAATTAGATGAGTTTTTCTAACTTTTAGTTTTTTTCTTTTCAAATTTCTTTGTTGAATATTTTTTCTTTTATTAGATTTAACATTGCTTAATGTATCAGAAGACAATTGTTGTGATTTTTTTAATTCTTGTGAAGTTTTTAATTCTTGTGAAGTTTGCAATTCTTGTAAAGTTTTCAATTCTTGTGAAGTTTTCAATTCTTTTAACGGCAAATGAGACATTAATATCGGATATTTAAATAATTGTATAAGTCGTTTCCTTAACAGTTTATATGCATCTTCTGACTTGTAATCTTTGCTAATAGTTTCATTATCCAAGTTAATTTTAAGCATTTTTTCGATATCGGATATAGCCTTCGATTTTAATAAATTACTATAAATTAATAAAGTTATGTAATTTGGTTCTATTGCTACAACCGGCTCCTCATATAATTTTTTGACTACTGTTTTGTAAGAATTTTTAGATGACGTCCAAAGATGATATTCATCGAAAAATTTATCAATCGATACATCACTTTGATACCCTGAAGAATTACTTTTATTAGTATTCTTTGGTTGTATCAATTTTAATTGATAATTTGCAGTCGGATTAGAAGATTCGATTTTGCAACTGTAGGGAAGATTATTATTTTTGTTAGGATTAGATTTTATACATAAATTAATAGATTTACTATTCTTCCATTTTTTGTCCAAATTTCTAAATTTATTATTTTCGGCACAATATAAAGCAATAATTTTATCAAATTGTAGTTGTTCTTCTGAACCACCTATGAGATTAATGATTGATTCAGGTGTATCAAATTCCATTGGTACATCCAAAACAAAATTTCTATTTAAATTTAAATTATAATATATATCTCTCATTTGTTTAAATTTCCTCCTTTTATTATTTAAGTTACTTTGAAAAGGAATTGGTATAAAATGTTCTTTAGGTTCTTCTACTTTTTGTGGACCGAACATTTTTAACATGTAAGCTTGTATTTCTTCGCTATCATATGGTTTATTAAACTTAGACTTTATGTATGCTTTCAGGGAATACAATAATTTCTTATCTTTTTTAGATAATGGAAAAAAATCAAAATTATCTGGAATTTGCATATTTACTTGTAAAGTTTCTAAAATGGAATATAATTCTTTGGTGTCTTGGAAAAGTTCATCGGGATCATAATCATCATTTTCATCCATGGAAGATTCATTTTCATCCATGGAAGTTTCATTTTCGCTATCTGTATTCTGAAAGTGCTCTAGCAATAAGTCATCTATTTTATCTTCAATATCAGTCTTTGAAAAATCATTAATGAAATAATCTTCGTCGCTAAACTCCTCATTTTGTTCTATTGATGTCAAAGTTCGAGATCTAGGTATTTCAAATATCGTTATACCTTTATTCGCGTACTTAAACAAAGCATTATATCGATGTCTCAATTGTGTTCTATTCTTATATTTAAATTCTTTAGCTATTTCTGCCCAGTTAGGACCCAATTTCTTATACAATTTTACAAGTTTCATATCAGCAACAAGCGACCAATTATTAGTAAATTCAGTAGCACCTTTTAAAGTTTGATAATGTTCCATCAATTGTGTGGTACTTCTACAAGGTAATAATTGTGTCGCAATGAGAGAAAAATTAGTTCCATATTTATGAACACCTTTCAATAAAATTTCTGATTCCTTTTTAGAAAACCTACCCTTTTTCAAGTGCGGAGCTAACTTAAACACCCATCGAAAGTAAACATTTGGTTTAAGTCTATAAGTCATGTAACTCGCTACCTGTCCCCAAGATATAAAATTACCTATTTTGCATTTGGTAACAACTTCACATAATTTTTTATCTTCTTCCTTCGTCCATGGTCGTTCTGTTAGATTTAGCAGATATTCCATTGAAGTATACTTAACGAAACATTGATATCCGCTGCGTTTAGTGTTCAATTCTGCAGCAATATTATCCCAATCTTCATAGTTAAAATGTTTAACAATTGTCTTCAATTTCATTTCCTCTGCGTGTGTCCATTTGCTTTTATTAATATCAGGATGTAGAAGAATATTCCACATGACTGAACACTCGTCAGCACTGTGTCTTTGATCGGTATGGTTCAATGCAATTTTAAGCCAGTCAAATTGTTTTTTTCCTGGTGGGCCAATAATCTCATTGATGTCCTTTGCTTTCAACATTTTTGTAAATTTATTATCAGGTAAGTCAGAATCCTCTGTTTCAGAACCTTCTGACTCTGCATTTGTAGGATCTAATACAGACATTATAAGTTCACTGTATACATTTTCTGACATTTTTTTCCTATCTCTCCAAGTCCATGAGCAACCTTTTTGGAAAGTAGCTATTTGAAGTTCTCCGCGTGCTACTTTAAGTTTAGCATCTTGATTAGGGGGAGCAAAAAAGAAATCTTTATCTTTAAAATAGGGCATGCCAATGATAGACATATTCAATTTCGTTTCTTTCTCTTGAGTTACTTCATGGTTTTCTATCAATTCATCTAATTGCAATAAATTCTCTTCGCAAGTTATTAAGATTTCACTTATTTCGTTACGTTTAATTGTTAATTGTTCGATCAATACTCTATTTAAAGCCAAAACTTCTTGAAGTTTATCATCAATCTTGATTTCTCCAGGTTTCTCCGACTTGATGATATTTACGTCGAATTGAGACAATTCATCGGTTGTTTCATCAATCAACGATTTATCCAAATTAATAGAATGTGTCGATATACTTGCCAATACATTATCTAAATCTTGTATTTCATCCGAAATATTGCTGTTTTCGGAGTCACTCATTGTTGAAAATTATGCACAGAATAACATTACCGATGTTACAGTGATGCAAAAAAAAAAATGTTTCAAATAAAAACAAAACAGTCATCGAAGAACATGAACAATAAGAACAAACGAAGATTCCATAATAAAGAGAGATAATGAAAAAAAATCAAGCGATAGATGTATTACCCAACAAGCGCGCGCCAATCGCAGTGTGCGCGTTTTGACGTTTGACCGGAAGTTATGCACATATGTTTCCTCCAGTAGATGGTATCAACGAGTTGCGACTGCGCAGATGTAGTTGAGTATAGTCTGAATATGTCGGCTAGCTGAAAATACGTTACCCTGTTATCATGATCAAGAGAATTTCGCTTGGTTAAGTTTAGATTCGCCAGATTAAGACGTTGTCGATGAATTAACACCGTTTTTAAAGTTACAATAACCTAAAATCAAAGTTGATTGGGCGAAAGAAACGAAATTATAAAATAATCGGCAAATCGTAACGGCGGTAAAAGTGAAAAAGTAGCGCGAGGCCTTATGTCAAGTCAGATCGGTGTTGGGAGGGCCAACGACGTGTGCCAATATGAAGAAGCTCTTTTCAAAGATCGAAAACACGTCGAAGGAACCAAACAGTTATATAGGAAAAGTCTTCGTGGTCGGACGATACACCGTAACCGTCGAAGAGGTCCTGGCGGAAGGTACTTTTAATCTAAGTAACATCTATCATTCAACCAGCCTTGGATTCTCTGTCTTCCAAATACGCCTCTATCCGCCCCCTCACCCTACCACTACCCCTACCCCTATTCCCTCGTACCCCTCTTGCCTGCTCCTCATTCAATCATAGCTTTACAATCTACACTTTTTTTCATTACACTAGATTATTTTCGATCTTCAAATGATATTCGATTATCGATTATTTATTACGCCACTTCTTTCCCTTATTAATTACAATAACATTTTTGTCTATTATTTTTTTTTAATGTCCTAATTAATTTATTACTCGTATTATTTCAAGACCGAATTAGTTGGTATGATTGCGTACAAAATATTTTTTCACATTTAATAAGCAATTTCATTTAATTCGGATAATTGATTATATAATATTGTTTAAGAATTAGCTTAGATAGTATTTTATTGATTTTTAATTAACGAATTGTTTATTTAGCAATATTAATCTATGCGGTCGATATTTCAACGTTACTATGTTTATATATTGCATAAGGTTTACTGCAATAAATTGTAGCTACAAATTCGAATGATTATAGATGTATATTTAATTGTCAATTGATTAATTAATGATTAGATTGATATTAATTATTATTTACGATTATTAGATTTTATTATGATTTAATGACGTCGCGCTATAATATATATATTTTTTTATAATGGCATACTTATTTAATATGCGCTTGCATGCACAAGTATAATACACGCGTAATTTGTTTAATATAATATTTAAGTTATCCAATAAGTTAATATGCTTTTTTTTAAGTAAATAAATGACTAAAACTATATGGACTTATTGGACAACCTAACATTTTTATATTCATGAATATTATGATCGTTTTGATAATATGATTGTTCTTGTATATAGTGTATGAAATAATAAAAAAAAAGAAAAAAACTATATTAGAAATCAAATATTGTTTTCTTTGGTGCATGAATGTATTGAATTAATTGTAATAAATATTTACTAATTTTTACAGGCGGATTTGCCATAGTATTTTTGGTTAAAGCTTCAACCGGGCGATATGCACTTAAACGTATGTACGTGAATAACGAACACGATCTCAATGTATGCAAAAGAGAAATACAGATTGCTGTGAGTAAACAAATCAATTGTTTGTGAAAAGCAAGATTATAATCTACTTTATTATTTTGTAATAACACTCGTAAGAGTTTTATACTTTGGAGACGTCTCGTTAACTGTTTGAGTCCCACGCTGCTCGATCTTACTCTTCAAATTTCTTAAAAAAAAAAAATACCTAAGTTATTGAAATACAATCCGCAATTGATACATGGTCACATAACTTGCCATTTATTGATACGATTTTTCTAAAGACTATTGGGGCTTGAACGATTAAAGTGAGCGCTTTAAAAACTATTGTAAATATTCTAATATTTTTTTTATGTTCACTTATTTATAACCAAGAAAAGAATAAAGCATTTTTGTATAAATTTTATCGTTATATGTTTGCATATTCTATGATTTTTTTATAGAGCAATTTGAGCGGACACAAGAATATTATAGGATATGTAGATAGTAATATCACGCATACAGGCGGAGGAGTTCATGAACTTTTACTTTTGATGCCTTATTGTAAATCTCAAGTTCTTCAAATGATGAACAATAGGTAAACGTTCTATCATAAATACTTTAGAGAAATTAATTACGATCAATTGATTATATGTTTTTTTATGAAATCAATTATAAATTTACTATAGATTGCAGACTGGTTTCAATGAATCAGAAATTCTTCAAATATTTTGTGATGTTTGCGAGGCTGTGTCTCGTCTACATCATTGTCAAACACCTATTATTCACAGAGATTTAAAGGTAAATTATTAGATCTCTTTTATTTTATCCATAATTAAACATATTTCATGAGTATATTTTTCTAGGTTGAAAATATACTGTTCGCTGATTCTGGAAATTATGTTCTTTGCGATTTTGGCTCAGCAACAGCTAAAGTTCTCAATCCTAGTATTCAAGGAGCTGCAGTAGTCGAAGAAGAAATTAAAAAATATACAACTTTAAGTTATAGAGCACCAGAGATGGTTGATATGTATTGTGGGAAACCTATAACTACAAAAGCAGATATATGGGTAAGTTATTGCTTTTATTATTATTTTTTTATTTTATTTTGTATTAAAATGACATTTGTTTCTTATGTATTCTATTTTAGGCCTTAGGTTGTTTATTGTATAAATTATGTTTCTTTACTTTGCCATTTGGTGAAAGTACACTTGCCATACAATCTGGAAATTTTACAATACCTGATAATTCGAGGTGTGTAATATAAAATTATATTTTATTCATCATATTTATTATTAATCATTATAAAATCTTTATAATTTATGAAATATTATTACGGAGCTTGTTTTTATAGATATAGTAAAGCTCTCCATTGTTTAATTCGATATATGTTGGAACCTGATCCAGATGTTAGACCTGATATTTATCAAGTTTCAGTGATAGCTTTCCAAATTCAAGGAAAAGAATGCCCTGTTCAAAATCTACATGTAAGTTATACCTTTTATTAATTAAAAACTTTTTGAATTCTTATAAAATATTTATTAACTTATTATTTCTTGATTTTTCTTTCACAGAAAGCTCCTACACCTACAATAGATTCTTTGCCATGTCCTTTAATGGAAAATGACAATATTAAAAGATCATCATCGGTTAGAACTCCTAAACCTACACCTGTTGCAACCGTTGAGGGTACTTCAGTTACGCCTAGGCAAAGACCAAAAGGACAAGCTGTGAGCACAGGTCCTATAAACTTAAGTGGTCAAATAGTAGGACAAATATCAGGACAAGGTGGTCAGCTGCAACAACCAAACTCTGCTGGAATTACTCTACAACAAATTACACCAATGAATACAACCGCAACTTATTTAGGCCAAAACGTACAAAATATTCCGACGCTTCCAGTAAATCCTCAACAATCACTGCAATTGTCGACTCAGTCGTCTTTCGGTCAAGTTTCACCGCATGTTTGCACTCCAAATCAAAATGTTTCTTTTGGACAGTCACAAAGCGGCAAACAAACGCAATACAGTCAATCGCAAAGCCCTATGATCAATCATTCTCCTATGACTCGGCAGAGTCCGGTATCAGCTCAAGATAAAAATTCATATTACTTTGATTCGAGGCAACTCGAACAAAGATCTGCCACTAATATTAACGAAGAAAACTTAGAAGCATTATTTCCTCCATCACGTAATATCAGTTATAGTTATTTTAGTTATTTATGATTAAATTATTTTAAACAATATTAATATTAAAGTTATTATCGAATGTATTTACAGGTTACCCGGATCCTTTCAAAGATGATACTCGTACAATGCCACCTCCTACAAAAATACCACCACCTGTTGCACCCAAACCTGGATCAACTAAAGTTTTGCAAAAACTATCTAATTCTACTAATAGTTCATCTTCTAAGGTTGTGCCTATGACATTACCATCTAAATTAAATATTCAAACTGGGCCTAATAGAACTAATTTATCAACAACTCCACCGGTTTTGCCCAAACCGGTTAACAAAACAGAAAGCTTGAGCCAAAGTATAAGTTCTAGTACATCGCCGCCTGATAGCCCAACTTCTAATTCATCGAGACATAGAAGAAATGTCAGTGATACTAGTGCTTTCAATAAGTAAGCTCATGTTATTGATATTATTTATTAATTTTATTTACTTCATATTCATTTATAGCAATGCTTTTAGCACACGTTTACAATTAGAACAAAGAATTTAACTCCTTTTTTTTTTAAATTATTTTATCATAGAATCTTTTAAGACCGCAATAGTTGCATCACAACTTCCCATCTGTCAAAGCTTTCTTATTTATATTACAGCGGCCATTTCGATGTTCACAGAGCGTTTGCAAGTGAGACAACCCAGTTCTTAGCACCGTACGAAGTTTCGGTCAAATTGCGCTCAGAAGACATAACATCTCCCGAAGTAACAATTGATACAAAACCTTGTATAGGAACGAGTGCCTCGCATGTACGTGTTGTAAGTATATGTAGCGCACAAGTTTTATTTGGTTCCGTGTTTACTCTTTTAATTTTGGAAAATTTATGTAAATATTTTTATAAATACTTATGCACATTCTTATATCAATTTTTTAATTATTTATTTCTCTTCTATTATTTACAAAGGCTACTGAGACTTTAAAAACACCAATTACTTTTAAACTCTATATATTTGTAAGAGTCCATTAGGACCATACATACACAGTTTAAACAGTAAAATTTAATACTTAACATTTCGAAGAAAACGAAAGAAGTTTCACATTCATTCTTATATACCAGTTCATTTCAGATGATAAAATAAATTTTTTACAGTTTAATTTAAGAAAAAAAAATTAAAAAAAAAATTATAGAGAAAATATACATGAGTGGGTTAAGAAGTCAGTTTCCAGTTTCTTGGAATCGATTGGATATTGGGTCTTACTGCTTGTATATTATATGGTCCTAATGTATCCGTACAATTTATAAAATTTTAC